TATACTGTGTATTATAACGTTATAACGTTAGTATAGGTTATGTTACAAACTATACTGTGTATTATAACGTTATAACATTATTATAGGTCATGTTACAAACTGTATTGTGTATTGTTTTTCGTGATCTTTCGTGACGTATGATTTTTCAATTCAAATATTTCTATAATCTTTCTGTATTGAATCGTGCGTGACATCACGATTGTTCATTTCATTGCAAGTCGACGAACGAATTATTAAAAAAAAAAAAAAGACAAGAATTATTGATATAGGAGACGTAAATTCATGTTCAATACGTTGTGAAAATTTAACAAGCTGCGAAATCATATTATGCTCCATGGAGCACGAATTGACCACACATAGAAATGTAAACAGTAGAATATGTGTGTGTGTTTGTAATTTGTGCACGTTCATTCTAACCTTAAGTACATAAAGTTTAAATTGAAGTTGAAAAATGTGGAATTTGGATTCGGAAAGGTGAAATTTCACGCGTGCCTTTGAAATTGACAGTAGAAACGATGGTGGAGTGTAGGTTAATCATCTCTTGGCAAGTCTCCATAGGACAAGTCACCATTGTGGAATGGTCGATCGAATCGGTCCCTTCCGTGAAAGGTGGGAATCGTTTCGTTTCCTCTTTGAGAGATCTTGTTCGATCACAGCTCTCGTGATATTTTTATTCCGCGAAATGGAAATTATTGGTTGTTTATTCATTTATAAATTAACCTGCAAAACTATCTTCAGTATTAAATATTAATACTTCCTAGAAGTGAACTTATTTCTTATTTTTACAAAAATAAATCATTCAATTGGAAATAAATTAATTCAATTTTTATATGAAATAATATTTAAAATATAATTCCGGTATTTTATAAGTAATTTGTTTCTGAAATGACTCTCTTTTAGTAATTTAAAAATATTGTCATATTACAATTTGAAATGTTATTTGAATTGTTCAAGCTTTGCATTTGAAAGATTTACAGCAGCTTCAGTATTTAAATTGCACGCACGTGAAAGGTATATATTTGACATTCGAAATTACAAAAAGTTTGTCGCACCACGAATATTATAAATTTACAACACTAATTCTAAAGACTAATTTGATATCCATTGATTTACTCAAATTACTGGGAAACTGCCCCCTCTCCCCTGGTATATCACAGCAACCCATTCTTCATTTGCATTTTGAGGTTAATAAAACCTGTTAATCGCAGCAACAACATCACGTAACACAGCTGTGTCATTGGCGTATTGTTCTTGGCGGGAAGCGCGCCTCTGTGTCATCCTCGACGAAGGGTGGGGGGGGGGGGGCATTGAAAGAACTCGAGGCCTCGAGAAGAAGAGACGGTTGGTGGAATATTCTTAGATTCACCGAGAACCTCCTTTGATTTTCCATTGTTCTGTGTTTCCAGCTGAAAAGTCTGAAGGTTTAAGAGAGGAGGAAGTCAGTCGCACGGGTAAATTGTCACGGGTGCGTTCACCACCTCCTTCAGGCCCTCCTCGAGAGACTTCGGAATGAGGCTGTCTCGTTGTTGTGCACTGTCTTATGTGCACTGGACCGGTTTCTCTGCTCCACGATGCTCCACTCGGTTCCACCGAGTCTCTCCCCCCCC